ACTGAATGCAATGAAGATTGAGATCTTGATCTCAATGATGAAGATATTATCTGAACTAATGAGACAGAAGCTCTGTCATTATCATTCAAATCAATAATCTCATCATTATGTGGAACTCAGGTGTGTTTTCATCGCTGAGATTCTAATCAATTGTCAGTCAGTTGACAATTGATTGTATTATATTCAACATACCTTCCCGTCTAATATGACGCTGATAATGAGCCTTCATAGTATCTGTACAATAGAAATGATGAATTCCATGTTTACTGCGAGCTTTGTGTTAAAGCATATCTCATTTATCCAGTTTCCAATCACTAATGAATGAATTGATTAATAAGTGATTGACAATTGATTGACAAATGATTAACAACTACTTCACTCATCTCAGTACTCTCTGAAGAAGACTTTGACCTCTTTCAAAAGCATAGAACTTGTTATGAGTCTGCTCTGCAGCATTTATATGATTTCAAACTGAATCATACACTGCACAAGATATCAAACTACAATATTTATTCAATTCAGAAGCAATAACACCATTTTTTTTATAAACAGCTCAATTTTGAATTTTTTCCAACTCATGTCCTATCTATCAATTAGTAATTGATTGTCAATTACTTTTGAATTACTTACAAATCAATAAATTGCATAATTTCATATAGTCATCCTGGGATTTGCAATTCAAAAGACTTGCCATACAATTCCAAGCTGAGGTACCTCAATTCTGAGTTCTCACTATGTTGGAAATGCTGCAGAAAAAATGAATATGATAAAAGATAAGAATATTCTTCAGTTGCCAATCAAATAATCAATGTTCAGGGTCGATAGATGCAAGATATTGTGCTAGGCCTAAGTGAATTGATTAGCAGAGAGTTGTCAATTGATTGCTAATTGAATATCAATCAATTATCAGTCATCTGTTTTGTGCACATATTCACAATAATTGCCTGTATCTCCAAACCATGCAGATAGTCAAAAGAAACAGATTGATTCTGCAGCTTTTGTACTACTGCAAATGTTCATTGAAATAAGCAATAATATCTCTCAGAATTTTCCTGCTCTGTAAAGATTTGACACAAGATAATAACTAATCATGAATTGATTGTCAATCAGTTGTGAATCAATCAATAAATACTTCAAAAAGCACTCACTTTTTCCATGCTGAGAAAGATATGTTGCAAAGATCACCTCATTCATTTTTGAAGATTTAATATGTTTGTATGACATATCAACTTCAAAAGATGAAAGACTAAGAAGAAGAGCTGCTTGTTCTTTTAACATACAGATAATTATCAAACCTTCCTCATTCTGATGAATGTTCTGTACATAGTTCTATATACAATCAATTAGTAACTGATTGTAAATTGATTCAAAATTGATTCTACCTTCAAAGCTGGATTTTGATCTAGTTGAAATAGAACTTCATTGTAATCTTAACCTGCAGGAAAACTCAATAGTTGTTGTTTTTGTAGTATAGCTTGAAATCAATTCATATTGATAAAACTGATGTAAATTTCAGCCAGACTCTGACTATTATGCTCATCACAAAATTTCTGTAAAGCAGGACTTTTGAGAAAGAATGCTAAAAATAATCAATATTCAATCAATTGAAAAACAATTGAGAATCAATTAGAACTCACACAATGTCATATTTGATTCTCGCATTTCTTGAATCAAGGTGAGAATTCGGTTCATAATTGTTGCGGGTGGTTTGTTGAGAGGAGGAGGAGAATGTGTATAATTTTCATGAGAGATAAACAGCATATAAGAACAGTTTGCTGAATTTACTGAAATTATAACATGAAAAATAACATTGTAAGATAATTTCTGCATTGTTCTCTGATCAGCAGAATGATTAAATTCTAATAATTAATTATCAATCAATTGAGAATCAATTGAGAATTGCTTATCACAAAACTTTCTTGTGCTTCTTGATTGTTTCATAACTTCACATTTCTTCTTCATGAAAAAAAGATTTTCTTACAAGATTCTTTCAAGAAATTCAATGTTCATCTGTGTAACTCCTTGTACTGATTGAAAGAAGTAATGAATATGATTTATCTTGAAAGAATTCACACAAGAAATAAATGAAGCATGATATTCAGTGACATTCTGCTAATTGATTAGCAATCAGTTATCAATCAATTGAGAGCTAAATAAATTATACAGGAATCTCATGTTGATGAAAGACAGGTGCACAGGTTTCTGCAAATTGTATACAGAAAGTTTCTTCTTGAAACAGCGCTTGAATCGCCCGTGTAAAGCTAAAGAATCAATTGTCAATTAACTCTCAATCAGTTCTTAATCAATTAACAATCAATTCATATCTAACAGCATTGCATTTTCTCTGATCATTCTCAATCAACTGAATACTCTTCTATAGTTATTGAATATTTGTTCATATTTCCTCTGTAATCTCATTATAAGATGCAAAATATAAATTTTGATCTAAATATTGACAGACTTTGACATCAGTGCATTTGAACTTGTACTTCTTCACTCTAGAATGAAGAAAAGAGTAATATATTTCTTTGAATGAGTGAACAGAACTTTTTTCATACTGAATCTGAATCAATTATTAGTTAATTGTTAATTAATTGAGAATTGATTTAGATTATCTACATCATTCATCATTTGTGTCATTTTCTCAACATTTAAAGGCCCAGTTGATATCACATATGTATATTCTTGCATATGAGTCTTAGAATACTCAGACAGGTCATAACTGTACTCTACTTTAGAGATACATATTAAATGAACAGTTGTATCAGTTAGAGAGATGAGAACAGACTCAATCTGTGTGTTTAAGCAATTAGCAATCAATTGAAAACCAGTTAACAATCAATTCAGTCTAAATTATGTAAATACTTATCTCATTGTCAGAACTCAGATTCAAGAACAATCTCAGTATCAGAAGAAGAATTGTGATTATTAATAAAATCAGTAAAGTCTTCTTCGTATATGAAGATTATGATGAGAGAAAAGAATTGTTCTATAATCAATTAAAAATTGATTGTAGAATTGATGGTAAATAATTAAGAAAGAAAGAGTGGTTTCAAATTACAAGAAAAGATGTATTGTGTGAGGTTGAGTAGTGGTCAGAAAGCAGAAAACTTGACCTTGCTAAGTGCATCACTTGACCTCGTTATGTAAGCTGACCTCGCAAATGTGGCCCGTGCCACTACCTGACCTCACTCAATACATCTTTTCTTGTAATTTGAAACCACTCAATTATTTACTATCAATTCTAACAATCAATTCAAAATCAATTTAAAATCAATTTAATACTGAAATTATTCTTAAATTTCATAATAATACTGAATTGATTATCAACTGATTTTCAATCAATTATTAATTACTTAAATATATAGATTAAATCTATTTTTATTACTATAATTAATTCAGAATCAATTTAAAATCAATTTAAAATCAATTTAAAATCAATTTAAAATCAATTTAATACTGAAATTATTCTTAAATTTTATAATAATACTGAATTGATTATCAACTGATTTTCAATCAATTATTAATTACTTAAATATATAGATTAAATCTATTTTTATTACTATAATCAATTCAGAATCAATTTAAAATCAATTTAAAATCAATTCAAAATTAGTTTAATACTGAAATTATTCTTGAATTTAATAATAATACTGAATTGATTATCAACTGATTTTCAAGCAATTATTAATTACTTAAATATATAGATTAAATCTATTTTTATTACTATAATTAATTCAGAATCAATTCAGAATCAATTTAAAATCAATTTAAAATCAATTATTAAATATTTTTATCTTAATATAATTTAAAATTCTGTAAAATATCTCTTTATATTCTATATGAATTTGTCTGTTTATTTAATTGATTATGAATCAGCTATACATGCTTTGATTAATTGATGAACTGAGTGAATGAGAATGAGTGAATTGAAAGATTGAGTGAATTGAAAGATTGAAAGTCAATTACCAACTGATTATTACTGTATTGTGCGAGGTCGGGGTCATGATTATGTAATGAGGTCAAGTGGCGCACTTAGCGAGGTCAAGTTTTCTGTATACACGGTAGTGGCACGGGTCACTTTTGCGAGGTCAGCTTACATAACGAGGTCAAGTGGCGCACTTAGCGAGGTCAAGTTTTCTGCTTCCTGCTTTAGTAATACTTATGATCTAGTTAACCATGCACAGTACTATCATACCATAAGCAAACCACTCTCAATCTTTATGGTTAAATTGCTTAGTTCACCAATCCATATCAGGGCTCCAGTTACATGTCCAAATTTGCACATGAATTCCCAACAGAACCAGCAAGCTCTGTAATGTATATTCATCAGGATATTACCGTGCCTTCTCTTTTACATCATACCGTTACCATCGCATACAGATCGAGAACGATTGTAGCCACCTACATGACATACAGTTCATAACACGGGCCTGATACCAGAATGTCTGTAGGCGGACCCCGTCATTCAGCCGGCACTTTCCACCTTCCTTGGCCTAAAGAACTTGTCTTGTAGTCTTACTTCCTAAGTGTTGCCCACAGTAAAAAATAATGAGTGAGGTTTGATTGCCATCATCGAGGAACGGGATTAGCGTTATTCTATATGGTTCCCATGGAGAAAAGTAGAAATCTGCAGCCAGTAGCTGTGAGATCGGAGTCCGCTCGGTCGCCGGAGCGGTCCGTCACGAAAGGTCAATCAAGAGTCGAGGACTCCATTATTAAAATCGCCGCGGAGTTTGTTGGGTTGGAATGTTCGAGATGCATCTGGGCCCTGCAGCTCCGGGGCGGAACATTATGTTATCTTGACGAGCCTGACTCCGCCTATCTACTCATTATTATTCCTAATTGCCTGCGATCATGACTGACTGGTTCGTTTTGGCGTGCTCTCCATTAGAATTGTTAACGCTGCTGGTACAGTCCAGCTAACGCCAAATCAATCGGGCTTAATGGTCCACCAGATGCTGAAAATCGCTTGGGAGGCGATTTCCAACTTCCATACTTTTGGCACGCACTGGGCTCTATTATTTATTGCTGATATTCGTCAAATTCAAAATGAAAAGCAGCAGCAATATACCATTCATGATTGGTCCTTGCTTCCTGCCCAGGTACCTGGGCGATTTTTTTGAATTCTGCAGGGGGATTAACCTGGCTGTCAAACGAGAGTGGCTCTCATTCTGATTGGAACACAGGTCATGGTAAGAGGTACCATTTGTAAAGTTAAAGTTACTATCCAAACTTCCCCGGAGCGGCCTATCCAGCTTCGAAGGACGGAATCCAGCACGGGTTCCGATAGTGTGGCTTGACTGGCCACAAGTGGTAGCCTCTAGGGGCAGCGGGGAAGGCGGAATTGATGGGAAAATGCGTAACACCAGGTTGTCGGTACCGACTAGTGAGCGGAAAAGGCCTGGAGCTGCTATCGACTAGCGATGAGGCGACTTTGGATAATGCCAAAGCTAACTAGCTTTTATCGTTAACGTAGTTTATTGACTGGACGTTCTAATGCGGTGACAATTTCCGGTGCACTCCTGCGATATATACGGTGTACGGTACGGGAGGCGAGAGTATCTCGAGGCTTTGCAATCGGGTATGGCGATCGCAGCACCATCGACGACCTGCTGGCGGGGAATGCCTCCAATTCAATCGGTTCGTTTCCATACTTGCCTGAACGGAATGAATTAATATTATTTGAACGAGGCGGGTTTGATATGATAGACATCCGCTTTGGCGGGCCGCAAAACTCGCTTTCCCATCAACCATCAGCGCAGGGATCCCTTCCTAGTAATTGTTCTTCATGAAAGCTAGCGAATGACTTCAGAGATATCTGCCATGTGGCACCATGCCCATGTCAAGCGTTCAAGCAGACAATCCCCAATATCGCTTCGAAGTATCAAGAATAATATGCCTGTCACAAAGCAAGTCTCACATCCTCATCCTCCTCAGCTGCGGCCTGTGGCCTGCGGGGCCAAATAATCCAAGGACGACGTGATCGCTGCCCATTGCCCTGGACTTGGAACGCGCCATTGCTTTGAGAGCTGCCTTCCCGGCTTCCGCGTGCGCTAGTCCCACCAGGAAGTGCTGCTTCTTTTCCGCTTCAGAGTTAGCGGGTGGGTTCCTCCCAGCAGCTGCGGGGGTGGAAAAGGGGGGAGGTTGCATCGGTCCAAGCCCAGCTCCTCACGCAAAACTTACGAGACATCGCAACATCACCGTTATTTGCTCGCCCCCTGCTTTGTGTAAGCTGCTGATTTTGCCTTCTGTACAGAGAGTACCGTACCGTACCTCTAACTCTGAATTTTTCATTTTTCATTTTACAGCTCATGTGTTTTACATCCGTACTGTATGTTTGTTATGCTTTGTATGCTATGTATGGTGTATCATCTCGAATATTGTCCCCCCAACATTCATATCTGGGGGTAATGAATTTTAGAACCGGTTGTGTGGTCGTCTGGGCGGCCTTCGAGCATTCATCAGTCCCCCAAGGCTACGGCGACCTGATCCAAGCAGGGTCTCCAAATGTTGACTGTTCGCTGCATCCATGTTGCATTGGCAGTAGGAATTGGCCGCCAGAGGCCAAACACAGGAACATGGGATGGACGGGGCTTCCTCCCATGTAATTGCAATGTTGTTAGCAATTTCCGCTCTTCGTAACATTTCACCGATACAGCGATACAGACCTCGAGACAGGAACTCGAAGTGTACTATGCCGTAGTTATCCAAAGAGGCCCGCGAGTATGTCCAAAGTCCGTTAGTAGGAAAACAGCCCCATACACGGCTCGTTCTGTCTCCGCCATTGTTCAGAGATCCCCGACGAAACTAGCAGCTCCCCCTCTCGACTCCACTCCCGTCCTCATGACTCTTCTCCTCGATAACCTCGGAATAATAATAATGGCAGAGAGCGAGCGAGCGCGCACCCACCCTCGATCAGCATCAATAATAAATAATAGCCTTGCAGACGGAGGGACTTCCCGTCGTCCCTTGCCCTAGCGCGTCCCAATAACCAGGTTCAGGCAGCGTACCCCTGTTCCCCGATCCGCTGAACCAGAGCGTAGGCTCAAGGGGGACCTTTGGACGTTTTCCTTTCTTCGAAGACTGACGTCGTCTGATGCTATCTTCGCCCGTTGGACCAATCTCGCTGCAGAAGGGGACAAACAGCCGGAGTCAGGGGAAACAGGTTTTTTCATGTGTATTTCGACCGATGCTTGGGTGTGCTTTCTGCTCTCTTTCTCCTCACTTGAGTCCTCAGCATGCCGTCTTCTCCATCGTGGAATTTCCGAGCGTGGAAATACTCAGAGCTATTCTTTCGTGCTTCATCAACCCCCTTATCTAGCCGATCCTGTCTTGGGAGATCAGTTGCTTGCACGTGCTTGCGCCTGGTGGAATGCGCAACTGCGTCATGCATCATCTAGATGAACACACACCATGCCTCTTTACCTGCTTCTCATCAAGGAAGTACAATGATGGCATCGTGATGGGTGACGGATCTCTTTTCAATCTGTCCAACCACTGTAGAACATTTGTGTGCCAATGGCAGATATAGCTCCGATAGAATATAGCCATCCTCAACGCCTTGCCCTTTCGTTGCAGTTCTCAGGGCCAACCAACGGGTAAAGACAAAAAAATGCAACAAATTTGGTGAAGGATGCCTCTCTCTAGCAATGCACGGTAGGCATCCTGGTGTACAGAAATGGGACAGATGTTTGTTGATAATTCTAACAGTGCTCAGAGCTGATCTGTAATTCCTGGAAAGTCATCTTCCAGACATATGCTCGAGTAAGAATAAGAAATCCAATTTTTCCATTTTCAAATCCAAGATTCGAGCTTTGCTCTCGTCTTCTTGATCTCTAGATGTTGTAGTAAGCTTCACTCGGAAATAGTTGGGAGGGGTATGTTAGAGTTGTAGAAATCCTTGAGGTCGAGATGTTCCAAATCTATAGATATATATATGTTATACAGTTGTTGGTCTTGGACAATGAACGGGAACCCTGCATCAAAACAACGAGAAGAACGAACCAATTTCAATCAAACCTCATTCATAATTAACGAATATTAGCTGTTCGAAATATCATCACCTCCTTCGGCAGGTATAAAATACCCCCCGGTAATTTCAGCACAGGAACAGATAGAGGATACCAGACAGCCCAGCCGGTTATCAGTACCAAGCACAGTACTCTGTAAATTGACATACCAACGAGGAACGAACGTCCGATAAATACATCCCTAGCCACCACATATAGAAGGCTCCAAATATTCAAAATCATTTCCTGTTGACATAGCTACTGGCGCCCGGACTGTAGCTTTAGAGCGAGTTGATGGAAAATGCTTCTCTCAGAACCGGGGCGGCGCCACGCCACCAAGCCACAGAGCGATCATCACGACATGGCATGGGGGAGTTGTCTAGTCGACTTCACAAAGATCGAGATCTGGCCCAAGTGTACGCGTGAACTGCCCATGCCAATAATAATAATGGAGTCAGCTAGCATGGAACAATCAATCAATGATCAGGATATTCGCTCATCGGACTCACCGGAACGAGCTCCAGGAAAGGAAACCGGATGACGAATTTCGCTTTTACCTCATTATTGGGGAATTGCAATGTCGACTGCTTCTCGCGTTGACAGGTGACATTTGCCTCGCCATTTGTATGCATCACAGGATTCAGGGGTGGCTGTTTTCGCTGGAGAGCGGGCGAATGGTAAGAGATGTTGCCCTGGAGAAGGATAGTTATCACAGTTCTGGAGGGAAGGGAGCTTAGCTAACCGTATCATTTTGACATTGCATGGTGGTGCAGTGTCTGCCTGGGCCTGGGCTCGTAGGAAGCCATAAAGTCACCAATGAGAACTGAGATATCCCCTTCTGGATACCTTATTTTTCAGCTGATCAAGGAGATATGATATGTAGAGTCTGAACCTGAACCACGGAAGTCGACGTAACAACACTACAAAAACAATACCGATCCTTTAGTTACTGACACGACGATTTCAAATACCGCATTTTGGGGTATTGATCATAGATTATCTAAATTATCTGTTGTATGGATGTCGAAATGGTCGGTTGAATCATAGGGTTCATCAAGGTTTCAGAACGCTGCAGTGGTAGCAGTGGCTACGAGCAAAATGTATTGAAACGAGATATATGACGCCTCTGCACCAGTATACTTACTACCCCCCTAGTGTGCCCACCTAATCCAGCGCCTGTGTGATGCCCAAACAATCAAGTTATCAATCACAACGACTGCGATAAGGTATGAAAATTAGCAGAAACCAAATCTCAACTAACTTTATATAGAAGGGTTCGAGCCTCCCCGGACAACGTTGCAAAACTTACCGAGCCCATAAGTGAGAACCACAGTTGGCACAATCCACCCGCTCGTCAGGAAACTCGAAAAGGGCGTCTCTGCGATGGCAGCTGCTTTTTTTGCAACCGTAACAAACAGTGAGATAAACGCCAGACCGGCCCCAATCAGCGTAGTAAGAACGATGGACAGCATCTCGCCACGCGTTTTATGCATTTTGCCGAACCAATGCAGCGACGCAAGGAACACAAGCGTCAGCCCAGCGGCTATGAAGAAGTAGGCAAACAACACATAGAACTTGCTGGAAACTTCCTTGTTCTGCTGCTCAAGGATCTGCTTTCCGGAGCCGTCTAGCTGCGGCAGCACAATGCCAAATGTGCGCATAACCCAGAGGTAAAGCTTGTTGAAAAACTCTTCGAAAAGCGCGGAGGTTTCGGCGCCCCAATTGTTGTCGTTGTCGGAGAGGGCGAGGAGCCGGTTGTATATCGGTTTAAAGTCCGGTACTGGTTGGGGGGACCGGAGCCGATCGGAGACAGCGGTGACGATTAGCTCCAGGTCATTGACCAACCCCTGTGCTGCGGTTGAGTTTTGCGATGCCGAAAGCCCGTCAAAGAACATGCTGGCTTTCAAGGTAGCATGCTCCACGATACGGTTGGCGACATTCCACATGATCCATCCACGACTGCCTTCAATGGTGAGAAGGATTGCCATGTGTAACGGGAAGTGTAAAATGGCCCATATCTGCTGACGTATGCTGCCGAACCGTTCCTCTGAAATCTGGTCAAAGTATATTATATAGATGAAATACTACGCCGTGTATTTGTTAGGAAGCATGTTGAAAAATACCGTCCAGGCAGTAGAAGGCTTACAATGACAAGGATGTAGCTTATGATAAGACCAATGGAAGATTTGGGGATGTTTGTTGCTCCTTGGGCTACACTGGTGGCCTGTATATGGTTGGATCAGCTTAGCAAACCCTTTTGTTATAACAATCAGCACGTTAGTTATGAAACTTACGGCTTTGGTCATCCCGACTACTCCTTCTCCTAGAACAATCAATGTCATCCCATTAAATCTCTCGATGATAGCTGTCTCCTTGAAACTAAGCACCCTCCAAAAGCTGGAGATAGATATCATGAACACCGCCTCCACCGCCCCAATAACATACCATGCAAGGAAAGCCAAATGGCCGCTGGTCCTGGTGAACGTGAACGCGAGACCCAGATACGCCATTGCGGTAGTAAAAACCGTGGCAATGACCAGCAAAGTTGGAAAAACCGTCCTCTTGTACCCCTTTATATACCATACGATGGAGGCATACTGGAGAGCCAGGATGATTCGAGAAGTCATTAGAACGAAGCTCATGTTCCGAAACTCATTCGGCTTTGACGAGGGATTTGATGGGTCGAAGTTAGGTCCCAAGACAGCGAAGCCGGCCATGATCCCTAGATGTGCGGCTCTGAATACCCGTGACAGAGCGGAATCGGTATGGAATCGGAGATCGAAGAAGGTAGTCTGGAGCCATACGAACCAAAGCAATGAAATGTACCCGGCATACGCCGTTAGGTCTATTGAAACCCGTATTAGAATCTGTCTCCGATATATAGATATATATATATAAGACTCCTTGGGGATACTAACTGGCCGTGGTATTTATTTCATGTGTCGATGTGAAGCTTGACAGATTGGCGACGAAGAACAAGTCATAGAACAATTCAATGGGCGCAGCTTTACGCTTCCTGAAGAGCGGGAGCTTGTTTTCCGAGCACATCTTCTGTGTACTACTATCCAAGTTCACCAGTCGGGAACTCCCCTGAGAACTGGGTTCCAAGATGAGATGGTCATTCTGCTGGGTTTCAGGCCCGGTGGCCACCGGGTTAGCAATCCAAGACAAGGGCTCCCTTCTCTCCGTCTCCAAATCGTTTCTCTTAATGATATTTTTGACCTTCATAATGGCAAATGGATTTGTCCAGGGTGTTGATTTTCATATTCATCAATGTTCTGAACCCAAGGGGTCAGAGCAGCCCATGAAGAACAACAAATATTGACATGTCAACGCAAAAGTTGCGGTGTCCAGGTATGGTATGGTATACTTAGCTAGCCGGTACTACGTCCCAAGGTAAATAGTTCGGCCAGGACATGGGACAGATGAAGACATTACGCATCTATCATCTATCTTGAGCAAATGGATGGCGCAGTGGAAATAGTTCCGTTCAGTGCGGTGCGTCGGTTTCCGGTCTTTTGGCGAATTGTTCAGTCAGGTCAGCCCTTGGAACTTAATGGGGAAAAACCACAACAGTTTTTTTTCAATTTTTAGTCTGTGACGATTCCATCTGATATATAATAATTCGTTGAGCTGCTCATAATATCAAAATATCCCATTGATACTTACTTTGATGAGCATTTCTGAAAGAAAGAATGCTTAAAACAGCAAAGCCTTCCTTCAACCAGCCAGCCAGCAGCATCCTACCTATCCTTCGGCCTCGGGGGATTTGGAATCCAGCGCATTTCCCAGTGGTTCCTATATATAATATTGCCACTTCCTCCACATGCCCCACAACCGGTGTCATATGAATTATTATTATTATTTATTGAAGCAAGTTAAAACAAGTAAATTGTCTTCTCTAGAACTCCCTCAAAGATCTGCCCAAAATAGGTGTAGGCATGCTGTTCACTTTAAGTAAGGTTACGGATAACAGATATTATTACAACAGCAACGAAACGAAGCGAAGAGCATAACTACATACATTACATTTTCATGCTTCCCTTCTACTAACTAACCTTCACCCTGAAAAGCGTTCCCCTGTCTACCCCCCTCGGTGATCTTCTTCGCCAACGAATACAACACAACCCTCCAGACACTCAGGAGATCTCAAGATCCCTCGAACATACATGTAAAGAGTACTTTAAAAACCGGCGCGCGAATAGGGAACGAAACCGAACTGACTCACTGCAGAAAAACAAAGAAAAAAGGAAGGAATAAGAAAAATGCCGGGGGGTTTGTGTATAGATAGATTATATCAGATATATCTAATTCTTCTGTGAAGCAGGGAGGGTAGGTAGTACGTTTCTTCTTTTTTTTCCCCCCAACAAATAAAACTGGTTAACTAGTTACTACTACTACTAACTACCAAATAGTTCAATATTTTTGCTATGACACATGGAAGCTAGATTTCTCTTTGCTATTAATTGTAAAGCACCCCCTATTTGCCCTCTTTCGCCGGCCGAGGCTTGTATCACTGAGTCAAGGCTTTGATCCTAAGTAACTGTAACTCTGTATGACACGCTTTTTATGAGATGTATGGGGTTAACGGGGTATGGGTATGGTATGGTATGGGGTGGACGTTCGTGCTGCATATGTGTCGTATGTTGTTGTTACACGATCTGTAAAAGACATATTCCCCCCGTGTATTCGCAGGAATGATGCGCGCTCCATAACAAAGAAAGCAAGACCGAGGGGGGAGAGAGAGTGAGAGAGTCTACGATACGGAGTACAGATGTCAAAAATGAAGTATGGGGTTTGATTCGCTCTGTATGGAGCAAGTCTGTTATGTATGTATGTATGTATTGTATCTACAAGAGATACATACAGTATGGAGTGTTCATGTTTGGAATACGGTGGGTACACTTTTATTATTATTTCTTGACGGGGAGGTCGGGGACGGGGGACGGGCGTTGACGATTAAAACCCGACGGTTTGGTATATTGAACTGTAGGCGGAAAAGAAAAAAGAGATGGTGAGTATATTGAGAACCGCAAAATCCTCATTGTGCCTGGGCGTTTTTTCTCTGCACGCACGCCAGCTGCACCTGCAGCAGCCTCTGGCAGGGTAACCCGTACATACGGCCGTAGCGCTCTCCTTTCCCCCTTTTCCATTGCTTGATGCATATCTTCTTCTTCTTCTTCTTCTTCTTCTTCTTCAAGAAATGATTTACAATTCATCAGACCGGCATTGACCGTTTGCGCTTTGTCTGCTCGACGTCCTCAGCTCCAGGTTCGCGATTCGACAGGACCACTTTCCATAAGTTCGCTGTTCATGTATCCGGCGCCGCCGCGCAACGTCCAAGTGCCACCCAACTATGAAGATCTGAGATCTGAACACTCCGTATATCAAGTGGCGCGGAGGAGGGAGACGGGGAAAAAAGTAGTCTATCCGTAACTGGAACTTCTTTAAAAGAGAACCTCTGGTTCAATTCGACCGGAAAATGTGATAGATGTATTTCTAGCTTTCTGGCTTGAGCTGGCCAGTAGGAACAACGTTTCTCTCCATCCCCGTAAATTTTTCTTTTCTTTTCTTTTCTTTTCTTTTCTTGCCTTCCCTGGGGAAAGGTGAAAGTCTTTCTTTTTTTATCTGGTGCAAACAAAGAAAATAATTAATAGTTAAAGTCCGGGGAAGTAGTCAGGACTTCTGATAAAAAAAAGAAAAGAAAAAACAAATCAAGAGATTTCAGCCCTAGCCCTCGCAGTCCCGGGGGTGAGTAGTAATGTGAAATCTCCTAAAACCTCATACAAAGCCACCTGAGGGCTACTCCGTACGGATTGAGTTGATATTCATTCCTGTTTTGAAGTCCCATGCTGGAGTGTAAAAAGAGCCTGGCGTAGCGGAGCTGTTCCATCATCATATGGTAAACGGTTTGTTCGGAAAAATAGCCTGAAAATTAGTAAGAGAGAAGCATTTTGAAGCAGTTTATATAATAATAATAATGTATTTTGAGGCTATCGCCTGTAATTTTATTAGCAGACGGCAGAACCTGCTGGCTGAGTATCACATTTCCAACAACGCTGTGTCATAAAATAATAACAATGAACTGACCACCAATCACCCCTAGCTGAAATCCGCTGCAAATTCCAATTAAAAAAAAAAATGCTCCTTGGAAGTTGGACAAGGTTGACTTTCCTTATGTGTTGATATCACACACTTCCCCCTACCCTACCTACCTACCCTACCTACCGTCGCGACTCGGGACATGGGGGGCAGGCATGGGGCATGGGGCTGGGCGTACACAGTAAAGTTGCCCCCCAGCAAGTGCAGGGAAGACGCGAAGTGGCTTGGTGTCACCGCGCAGCTCGCGACGGTCAGGTGACTATTTCTGTCCCAGGAGTTCAAAACCCAAAGAAGCCGAGGCCCACACTCCGTGTTATCCCGACTGCTATCACGTGTGACACCCCCCGGTTCCGATGCTCTCCGATCGGGACGCAGCGCGCTAACTTACGCAGTAACTAGGTACAGTACGCCAGCGCACGTTACCAGGTATTTGGCTCGACTGGCGGAGATAGCCGCGCGGGTCCACAATCGCGAGAGGAGAGGGAAAAAAGCTGCCAGAACCTTGGGAAAGGCTGCAAAGCTTCAAGACCCGCTCTTTGCCCGAGGCAACACAACATGTATCATGATGCATGCCGATAGGAGTAAATAGCCCGAAGGTTGACGGCGAAAAAGGGGATCCAACCCAGCAACGGAAGAAAAGTGGAGGAGATCGGGTGAACTTCTCTCGCTGGCCTCCACTCACTACTACTGTCTGACGGCGATACATCCAGTTCTCCCTCCCTCCCTCCCTCCCTCTTCCACCAACTGGCAACAACCTCTCAAACATGGTTTCGCGGCGATGTGTAGTTAGCCGTTGTTGCCGAACGAATTCGCTCTCGAGTCTCCGGATGTTTTCTTCCTCAGCCCAGCCTCATTTTCTTATCAACTACTTACTACTAGACTCCGCCGTGCTTCACCCGAAGGTGACGGGATTTTAACGGTACTTAATAATAATAATAATAATAATAATAATAATAACATACGTACGGAGTAGTTTCAAACAACTCGCTGGAGAAATACGAATACTGTATTTCACCCGGGGGGGGGGGGATATTTACCAGTAGAGCTAGCTAGTTCTCCATGGGCAAAAGAAAAAAATACCCCCTCCGAAGAGTACTACTCTTACGGAAACAAGGAAATATACCCTCTCCCTTCGCTTCCCATCTCACTCCCCGGATCACCATCGTAACCAACCCATCAAACATCTCGAAGCGATGAGTGCGTGGATGGGAGCGATCAGCGATCACACCACAAGCTGCTTATTTGATTTAACTGAGGAGGGTAAAGGCAAGGATTCCATTTCCTCCATCCCATCCCATCCCTCCGAGATAAATAAGTAAGTTAATAATAAGTTAATAACCAATACGAAAAAGAAATGAACTTTTTTTTTTATTACTCGAGGCGGCGGGCTGGGATGTAGCCGAAGCTGGAAGGTAGGATTCGATTCGTGTTGGTTCCTGGTAGAAAATACTCCGTAACAATGAATGTGATCATCACGCACCGCACCCACCCGCCGAGCGCAACCCCAGGAGCTCATGTTGGCGATTTGACGGGGGGGGGGGGGGGGGCGGGATGCTAGATAAGTGTTGGAAGTGTCATGCGATGCACTCTGAGCTTCATTCGGGGGTTCATCAGAGGGAGAGAGAGAGGGAGAGAGAGGGAGTTGGGAGTTGGGAGTTGGAGTGGTTTTCCGCGTTTCCTCAAAACAGTTTGCTCTTGAGATGTCAACAAATGTCAAAACAAATGTGTTCGGCTGTCCACCAATACCCAGAGACTTATTGAGACCCCTCCCTGTCTTTAATAAAAGGGAAAGAAAAGAACCTTGTTTGTTATATACCAGCTGACGAGGAAATTGCCGCGCTTATCCCCAGCATCAGTCACCAGGATATGGTGTTTGCATGGATGAGGGGTGATTCCCACATGGCAAAGGAGAAGAATAACGGGAGACAAACGGCAGATGGGGAAAAAAAGAAAAAAAAACACCAACTCGAAGGGAGGAGGGTTACGCTCTGCGCATGCATCGCATCGCATCCATGGACCCCACGCATCGTTCGGCGAGATCTCTTTTGACCTTTCTGATCCTCCTATTTCCCCAACCCGGGAGTTCTCCAATCCTTGCTCGGCTATTAATTAGCTATACCATACCTAACCTCGCTAAAACAACTTAAAACAAGCCCCCGGCTCGAGCCAGTTTGTCCACAACTTGTCAGCTTGTCAGTGTGTCAGCAGCGTCTCAGCGTGTCAGCGTCTCAGCGTGGGGATGAGTTCCGCCGTCAGCCCGCGCCGCCGAGGCCATGCCATGCCTAACCCACCTAGCCTAAGGCAAGAGGTTACCCTGGGTTACCGTTGGTCAAATTGTTCTGGAAAGGGGGTAGAAGACAACACTTGTGGGCCATTATTTAATATTGTGAATGGTGGCGGCGCCCACGCGCTGATTAAGATTTAATTATTATGTATTGTACTTGGCATGGATCGGATCAAAGACCGGGGGTGAGTTGCTTTTTTATTTTATTTTATTTTCTTCTGTTTTATTTTCTTTTGTTTCCTTCTTCCTTCTCGTCTTTTCCAATGCACCGTAGTAACTTGACTACGCTGTACTGTACATGGGTTCGCCCCAGTGGGGGGGCGGGCGGCTTATGCTTCGATCTCTACCTCTAGATTCCCGAAGAGTAAAAAAGTGAGAAACGCGTGACCTGGGATGATGGGACGATGGAGGACGGCGATAGGGAGATACGATACAGCGGCCAACGCAGAGGTCAGGAGTTCATCTTGGGTATGTATGTCCACTTCCACAGTTCCACTACTGACTTACTGATGTGAGGGTGACGGTGAGGCGCTAAAAAAAGTATCTTTATCTTTATTTATTTTATTTTATTTATTCCAGCTGTGAATGTGATGTGCTGGCCAATGAGTACATGGGGAATTGAGATACGATACTATGGTAGCTATCACAACTTGCCAGAAGCGACATCAACAACCGCTGACTTGTGGCGCCTGAGAGCCTAGACATAAGCGGCCACCACGCTTAATTTTATACTTTCTTTTGTCACAAGAAGCTCCAGCCACAGCCATAGAATAGAGAAAACTCTCCGAACATGAAACCTGGCGTCTCCACGTTGTGACGGGGGATGGTGTGATGCTGATTTGTAGAAGCTACTCCGTAGTTAGAAGTTAGTTGTAGTTGTGGCTGAGAGCTCTGCTGGAGGCCTTGTCGTTTTTTTTGTTCCCGCCGTCACATCGACGTCGACCATCGCTGTCTTGGAGTGTGATTTTTTCTGCTTGGCGCCATTTGAACGTTTGGTATGAAACGATCACCACCACTCGAAACCCACAACCCTGTTAACAACCCACAACCACAAACCCCGTTCGAAAGCATCCATCGAGACCGCTTGCTAGCAAAAAAAAAAAAAAAAAAGAAAAAAAGAAAAGAAAAGAAACAATTGAATGAGCTTCAACTCTTCACATCTCGCAATTTCACTCCAGCTGCTGATCGTTCATTGAGAATGCAACCCGCAGATCTTGTTACGACCGCTAAACTTCCTCCACCCAACCCTTCACATTAATAATATAATAAAGGTAAGAAAAGAAACAAAAAGAAAAAGAAAACCGTTTCAAGGAATGCAAGGATTCTATTCCCCAAAAAAAGCCACAGCCAACCAACCAACCAATCATCACATTTTAAAAAATTAAAAGAAATAAAAAAACAAACGGTCAAACGTTCAACCTATCGTTCCCCTCCCTCCCTCCCTCGCCCCAACCATCTCGAAATAACTTATCCTTTTTTTCCCCCTTGCTCGTGTCGCCGTTCGGGCATAATAATAAGAGCCGAAATCTAGTCTGCAAACATGGTTTGATCGAGGGAGTTGGGCGTTGCAGGGGATGGATCTTTGTCTGCAGGCCCAGACAGACAGACGTTTTTTGAATGATCAACTCTACAGCGTACAGCGCTCAAAGTGTTCCTGGAGCTATACGCTACAACAAGTGATTGGAATATCAACGTTATTATTACTCTCCAATCGGGAGCTCAAGAGAAACTGTTAATTCTTTCCACGCAAGCCAGCCAAGCCGCCACGCCTGAACTAGTGGTGACCAGGCCTAGGCCTCCCGGTTTGTTTCATTCCCCCGCGTTTTTTTTTTTTTTTTTTTTTTTTTTTTTTTTCCATCCAAACAACGTCCAGGCATATTGGAATCGATAATCCATGTCTGTCCATGTAGTGTGAGAAATATTTCCGTGAAATAAATAAAATGATGATCTAATAAAATGGATAATAAATCGCTTAAACGATCGAAGATACGAGATAAATAATAATAATACTTCGCAGAGGTAATCATGATTTTTCCAATTGGCAGCCCGACCACCCATCCACCCATCCACCCCATCATTACTCCCTCTCGCGGATGCGACTATGCGGGGGAGGAATACATACACCCGTGGTCGCGATGGATAAGACACGGAGATAAGGGGAGGAAAACGCGGCGGAGCGGGAATAGGGGATTGTTTTTTTTTCTTCTTTCATATTCTTTTTCTACTCACAGCATGAGTTAAACTAGATCTGTGGCTTAGGTGGTTGTGATATATGTGCGAAACCGGCCGCAATGCTGTGTTTTCTCGTGTATTAATAATTGGAATGAAATAATGATTTAGAAAGAGGGCCCCAATGCTTTTTTTAACTGTGCGTACTTTGAAAACGTCTGAGGAGTAATAATAATCTCAGTCCGATGCAAGATCTCTGCTTTCAACCTTCGCAGAGAGATGAGATGCACTCCCCCCTTCACAATTACTCAAGCGGGTAGCTGAGGGTAAACGGGCGATCTGACCTTGCCATGCATGTGACGTGCCTGAGACGTTGTTAGCGAGGGGGGGTTGGACTCGGGGATGGATTATATATTATTATGCGGATTATATCTTCCAAGTTCGAAGGCTAAACTTATTTAAACCAGCTGGGGGCGCTGCGGAGAATACCACGCTGCGCATCCCTGCACTCGGCGATGAAGGAGTGAAACCTTCCATCCCCATCATTTAGAAATTAGCAGTGAGTTTGTTATTCAGGGCTGAAGAAGTGCACCTGTATCGACATAAAACCCTCTTGGATAGAGGAACTGGGCCATAAGCATCATATTATTATTATACCCCAGTGCTTCATGTCTCGGGGAAATATTATATTTCCCCGCACGAGAGAAAGATAGATACCCCCTGGCTGGCTGGCTGGCAGGCAGGAAGAGTACAACCCCTGTCTTTCTACTCCACTCAAAAGATCCTCTTCCAGAGTGCTAACTAGTTACCTCTGTAACTTTATGTGTGCAAACGCCAAACGCCAAAGTGTTGGCAATTAGTTAACGAGTAGTCGCATTTGAGGGTGGTGAAGAAGAGGGGCAAAGGGCGTGGGGGTCAAGATGAAGTGAGGCGGGGGCGTCGCTGATTCGCGCGCGCGATCTCTGGTAAAACAACAATAGCTGCCAGAAGAAATGGGTTATGTGTATTTATGTATATGTACTCTGTACTTTATTAGTGGCAAGGAAGGAAGGGCAGCCAGTGGGCGTTGATGATGAAACAGACTATAAAAATGTTACGGTTTCACGCTGGCTGGCGCAAGAGGGTGGTTGATGAAAGAAGAAGCGTAGATAAGTCATGTGGTGTATGTTTCATTGTCGAGGGTAATTTCTGCTTCTGTACGGAGTAGTACTCCGTGTGACTCTGAGATCGATGATGATATTATACGATGAATGCCTGCTTGAGCACTTGTTGGGAGCAATTGATTGATTGATTGATGGCTGGCTGGCCTATGAGACGTCAAGCAAAATAGATGATTCATCATGTTTTAAATCCTTGTCTCTTTTGTCTTTTTGCGGGGAAGCAAGCGCTTTCGGGCAAGATAGACGCGGTGCCTGGCCCTGCTGTGTCGGCTGCTGTCGTCCAAGTTACTTGTTTCGGCGTTGGATGGACGGGGTCCAGATGCAAGGTGCAAAGCAGGGGGAATCAACCTTGCCACCCCTTGTCGTAAACTGTGGAGAGTACGTTGCATATGGCCAGTAAAAGTGTGGACATGCAACCCATTTTTTAAAGCTGTACTATGTAGCTCTCCACTCCCCGGCCGCCTTCTCCCGGGTTCGCAACTTCGCATGCAATGGGGAAAATATCAAGTGACGGATACAGGCCTGGATCGAGCCCTGAATCAAAAGCAGTTGATGGCTTTTTTGTTATGCACGTCAAGTCGCGCCGTAGTTACCGCTGTTCGCTGCGTCCGCTTCCCGCCGTCCGTCCACCGCCATACTGACTGCGCCGGAGAACTCCCTCCTGAGCCCTGACCGACTTGCGGCTGCCTGTCTGTCTGCTTGACCCTGCTTGACCGCTGCTAGTCGCGCTGCTTGCTTCTTTCCTTTTTTCTTTCTTCTCTTTTCTTTTTTGGTGATGACGGTGACCCCGGCAGGGAAGCATCGGGCAGTAATGTCCGGGGTACATACACAGCCAGAAACAAACAATAATATAAATAACCAACACTTGTAGCGGGTATAATCGCGCTTTGTGTACGGGGGTAATTGTCCACAGGGCTCGATCGCATATTGCTACAAAGGCATGTTAAAAAACAAGATACATACACAGCTTATGTCCCTCCCTCCCCCTCTTCCCCGCTCATTTGCGCACTTTGCTACCAGAAGGCTTTTAACGGTTGCGGGTTTTATTATTTCATGTGGGTTAGTACCCATGGTCAATGTATGTATTGTACATACATACCTCATGATATTGTGTTTCGGGCGGTGACTTACCGTTCTCAGCAGTGGTGGGGAGTAGAGTTTCTTTGATCGCAGATTATGGATATTTCTGGGGTTTGAGCAGTTATGGGGTTGGTCAGGGGTGACAGGGAACATGCGTGGGGGGTGTGTGTTGGATGTGGTTTGAAAGTCCTTTCTTTCATCACTTGTTGGACTTCGCTTTCCACGGTTGGTGGTGAGCGTTTTACCTTGCTTACACCTCCTCCTTGTATTTATTTATTTATTTAGTTAGTTATTTTTAATTATCACTTATGAGGGTTTTATGGTTTTTGAATCCGGGGTCGGGGGGGGGGAGGATGCGGTCAAAGAAAGAAACGAAAGAAAGAAAGAAAGAAAGAGAAAGGAACCTGCCTACCTGCCTGACGGGGTTCAGACCGGCACAACGATCCAGAATGAAAATGTCAATGCTGTGTCCATGGAGAATTTGAATTATGTCTCTGGCTCTTTTTTTTTCCGCCTTTTTCCCATGTGAGCCAGCCCTAACTCTCTGAGTCTTTTGGGCTTTTTAAGTTCTTTGAGCTTTTGGGCGTCTGGACTCTTCTCTTTGGCCCTGCCCTGCCCTGCCCTGCCCTGGCTGAAAGTGAACCCCCCCGCCGCCCCACTAGATTCCGCGTTCCGTCAGTCTGGGAGGAGAGACCAGAGAAAGATGACACGGTTACGTGGGATGAGATGAGCTCTATTGTACGGTGATACCTGGATATCTCCCCCCCCCCCGCGGATGAAAAATTGAATTGCGATTTCGGCCAATTGATTCGGTATCAGGGGTTGGGCTGGAAGAGAAGCCCGATGTTTGCAATACCTGTTTGGACGGTGTTATAATACCGTATATTGATACCGTGGTACCTCTGTTCAAATCCTATTTTATAATACTACATTCATACGTCCATTGCGATTGCGCCCTCTTTTCCCCTCTGGCTGACTGACTGACTGACTGACTGACTACTGTTTTAGGGGGAGAACGAGACGAACGAAACGAACGAACGAACGGGGAAACAACATACGGAGTAGTTACGGCGGGCAAGGGACAAACCGGAATCAACCCGGCGGGTTTTTTGCCCTTTTTTCATTAGCCCTCTTTTTTATTTTTCTTCTGTGAGGAGGATTTTGCTGGGAGTCTGGGGCCCGCCACTTGCTGGCTGGGTTGTGGGGCGGATACAGGGCCGCGTAATGATAAATATCATCGGTGTCCGTTGGTCTTTTTTTTCTTTTTGGAGACCAAACGCCCTGTTTTTGTGGGGCAATCCAGCCGTTAATATCTATGCATCGGTATTTTCGTATTTTGGTAATTGTGGAATTGTGTAATTTTGTAATTTTGTAATCTGGAGCTCTATTCTAGCGTATGTAACAGAAGAAACTCCTGATAACCAACCCCCCCGTACACAGCCCAGTGATTATCAGTTTGAGACCACCGCCGCCTCGGTGCCACCTGCTTGGTAACTTTACGCCGTAACACTTCCCCGAAACCCGAAAGACGAAAGACGAAAGACGACGAAGATGATTGATTACCGTCCCCCAATAATAATACCAGCCCGATTGGCGTATCGTATCGATCGATGATTCTTTCTTACCAGGCCAGCTGATGTACCGGGTACTTTGCCAGCAGTTACAATAATAATAATAAATGTGTCTCCTTCCTCCCCTGGTTGGGTTGGGGAACTAAAAAGCATGCTCCTCCCGTCTGCTCAGGCGTCATCTCGCCCTGCCTACAAATATCCTATCTATACCCGCCCAAATCCCTCCCTCTCCTCCCCCTCCTCCTCCTCCTCCGCCGGCCCTCTCCCCCCCTCCTCCCAAAAAAATATATATATATAATATACTAACCCAAACCTTTCCACCTCTTGCCATAAAAATAATCCTTAATAATTTATTCTAATCATCTTTCGAAAATAATTATTATTCTTTATATATTATTCTCGTTGCCCTTTGCCTCCGAATTCCCACAGTCATCTCCACATTTCAAGTACCGTACCATACTCTCCGCCTGCTCTTGCCACGAGCGATTCCTGAGGATTAATTAATTAGCCTTGCTATATATATATAACCGCGGCCTGCTCATCAGCCCCAATTCTGTTCCCACCACCACCACCACCACTCCCCTTGACACTATATGCCATTCGTTCGTTAATTCGACACTTCCAATAATTATTACTCCCAGCTTCTGAATTTGCTGAATTTGCTGAATTTGCTGCATTATCAACACTGAGGAGGATTCGGATCGACAAATTCGGGACCTTAGCAAAGCAGGCCGCCGGCTTACAAGGGAATCAAGAGATTGAAAATCACCTCGGAAAGGACTGCGGTAGACAAAACAGAAAAAAGAGAAAAAAAGAGAGAGAGGGAGAGAACAGTCGAACTGTTGCTTTGGAGGAGCAACGCTGGATTATACAGCGAACAAAAGGATTCGCTTCGAGGAATACATGCCCTCCCTTAACCCTCTACGACACGCAGCCGGACAAATCATGCCTTCACGATTAAACAGCCCCGTCCTCTCGGTGGACGCGGCGAAGATTCATGAGGTGGATACAAGAAATGCAGAGTCGCTACATGGAATGTGGATGGGTTAGTATTCTCTTTACTCAGTTCGTGGGTGTTTGTGGGCGGGAAGAAGATAATGAACGGGGGAAATGAACATGAACAGTTGTACTGATTCCTTTTTTTTTATTGCACGATTTAGTTTTCTCGAAATGTGCAGATTACATGGAGGAAGGCAGACGGCTAGAGAACCTGAGCTGGAGATTATGGACCAGAGAAACGTTTTGCGTCGAACCAGCACCAGCAGCAATCCCTCCTCTAGAGGTCCGACGATTACGATATGAGTCCAGGGAGATCCCAGAACTGTCGTCGAGCGTGGAATCTGCCGCTTCGGATGAGGCGGAACGCATTGAAAGCCACATCAACGCATCGCGGACGCTCGATCTCAAGCCTACCATCCTTGAAGATGAATCGGCATTGAGTATAAGCAGAGGGAAGGAAAAGCATATAACATCGTTGGGATTGGAACGGATGGTTTATACTATCAAGGAGAAGAAGCATTTGGAACCCTTATCATTACCTACACCCACACCTCAACTCGCACCTCAACCCGCAGCGACTGCGACAACTAAAGCTGCCGCCCCCGCTATAGTCGTCATTAAATCTCGCCCATCGTCACCCACTCCCACTCCCGCCCTAATAGAATCGCACGCTGTCCGCCCTCATCAATCGTCAGATTCCTGTTCTACAACTGCTCTTGACGGCCTAGAGAGTGACCACGCTCCTCAAGTAGGCTCAGATACCAGCGTCTCGTCCTCAGGTCTGTTGGAGTCATCCACCATAGTCCGCGGATTTTCCCCATCGCATATTTCCTCCTCATACCGATCACATACAAAAATATCATCGAGTCCCGCTCCTTCAAAGACGACAGTGACACAAAAAGGCTCACCGCTCAAAAAGAAGGGTGGGATGTTTACCCTAGGAGGCTCATCAGGTGATGACGAGAGCTCCTTTGAGGATCGCCTCGCAGCGGAACCCCAACAACCAACCCAACAGCAACAACAACCACAACAACAACGCAGCTCGCTATCAGATGGTCTTCACCAAGTTGCTAACACCATGCAGAAGATGACCATGTTAAAAAATTCGATAAGTTCCAGAACACCCATCCGACCAATTACTGAGGGTTCGGAGGATGAGGATGCGATCGAGACCGACGATGATGAAGAGATCTCTGAAAGCGCCATCGAAGACGACGACGATTCCTCAGACTGGGAAGACTCCGTTACCGAAAGCGGTCGATCGAGCATAGACGAGAAGGAACTGTTCCAGCGCGTCGATTCGCGACCGAATCTCGTCTCGCGACGGTCGCTACTAACAATGATGATGCACCAACCACAACGCATGAACGGTCCCATCGTCAGCAAATCCGGGGGACCCCCAGGCTCCCGATCAACCCCCGCTCTCCAACGATCGCGCCTCTCCTCACCAACCCGCGATTCCGCCGCTGCATCCCCAGACAGCGACGAGAACACCCTCACAATGAAAGGGCCCGACATGCCCCGCTCCAAACCCATAGTCGTTAAATCAATACCCACCTACCAGCACCAAGTCCCCCACTCTCCCCGAACAACCCGAAGAAACATGCTCGCTACAGAGTTGACAGAGTCTCTACGACGACATCTGCTCTGGGAACGACAACAGAAGGCCACCACTCTCAACGCAGGCTTCAAGCGACGACATACAGCGCATGACATGGCCAATCTGCAAGAATATCCTGGCCCCGTGGGCACGAAGCTGAACGGCCAGAAGCAGACCCAGACCCAGACCCAGACACAGACGCAAAACGCCGCAGCAGATAAAGACGCCTCCAAGAATAACTCGTGGAATCATTATTTCGACTACTGGCCCTACGAATATCATGTGAAGGGCTGGTGATTTTTTATTTTTTATTTTTTTTTTTTTTAATTTCCTTCATGTTCGCTTTTATATATATATTTGCCCCCACCTTGTCGTTGACTGCATAGTTTGCCTGAGTCTGCATCATACATTTTTTTCGTTTCTGTCGCTCACCGAACCTCGTCTTTATTCCCAACATTATAGTATTATTATCATACTTGCACTTTTAGATACCCCCCAACCTCAACAACCACACCTTTGTTTTGATATTTTTTTCTTTCTTTTTTTTTTCTCCCGCAATAAACGCAAGGCAACGCCCGTCATAGCTTTATTTTGTTTGTGTTTTTATTCTTCGGCCTCTCTTGTTACCTTCATACTTGATTCCATTCATGTACCTCATCTTTGCCAGTGCATATTAGCATACCATTACCATACATACATACCATGCATACATTAACTTCTTCAATCAGTTTGTTGTTCTTTGCTTTTTTCCATGAACGGATTTGTTTTAATTCTATATGGCCAGGGTTGCTAGGTGAATCGGTCTAATTCAGAAAGGGCGTTTTATGACACTTCATGTTCCAGTCCATGTACACGTACTTGGGTACCTCTTGTTATGTATATAGCTATTTATTAGCTACTTAATGAATTAAAAATACAAATTAGAAAACCAAAAAAAGAAAAAAGAAAAAAAAAGAAGAAAGGACAGCACATCGCTCAGGTGGCCCAGTGTATGCTGACCCCAGACACATACACACATAGACATAGACGTACATACATACATTATTATTATTACACATGCCTGCTTCACCGCTTCTTGATCACTCCTCACTCACAGGCTGCTCCAGAGCTGGGATTCAAAACACTGAAGCAGTCTAGGCGCTGATGAGTTGGCATAAGGGCAATAACCATGCCATGCCCCATCTAACCATGTCATGTGATGTCATGTCATCTGTCAAACTTGCAAAGTTTCCGTCCTCCTCCTCTCTCTCCCCGTTTTAATAGAGTTTTGTCACGGCTTAGATGCGGGAAGAGAATGCAAATGCTGGATGGAATGTGTGCGGCGGCGGCGTGGTGGTTGGTGGCGGGGGATCACGACGAC